AATGTTTACCAGCAACAAAAATGAGTTTCGAGCTATGCAATGCATGCTGAATTTACGGCACCTTAGTAAAAGACTTCTTTAATTTTTGTGGTACTGGTAAGTAAACTGAAAGATTTATATCATTCAGGATATGTTTTTTATTTTGCTTTTAGCTGCAGTAGAAACAATTGTAAACACTCCCACATCACTGCGTATTCTTTTTGCCAGTCCTGAGGGGGGTGTCTTTTTATGGAAAGATTTAATGTCATATCTCTCATTTACAGGAGCAAACAGTCTTCTTATAGTTTTCTTCTTCTTGTGTTTTTGTAATGCTTAAGTAATGCTTTAGACATCATTATTATTTTTAAATTATTTTCTGTTCAAGTACATTTAAGGCATTTTATGCTACCACCACTTAAATTGCAAATATGAGTCACATGAGTATTTTTTTGTCCACACAGTACTAAAATTTTACAATACATGTCAATCTGAACGTGCTTCATTTGTAAGGCAGTAAATGAGTTAATTTGTTTGTATGTTTACTGAATGTTCTAAGCAGATAAGGTACAACGCAAAACAAGCAAAATGAGGTTTCCCTGTGTCTGTTGATGTGAAAGGTTTTAAAGATAATACCCTATTTAACCATCACAAGGAGAGATAGAGTGGATATATCTCTCCCCTAATTTTTCTGGTTTAAAACTTGCCAGGTTCTGATTTCTCCAAATTTGTGACCTGAATTACTTTTGACTTCCAGCAAAATTAAAAACATCTCTGCATGTGAGGTTAATTGTGTTTGAATCCAGGTTTCTAAAGATGAAAGGGCCAGACTCCATGGCTGTTCACCCAGACATTATTTATTCTGTGTGGGTAATTTTAAATGAAATTGGAAGTAACATATGACAGAGACCATTATGCATTAGCATGTCAATAAATGCAGTGAAAATCAATATAGTTACTAACACAGTAGCTATTCATAACTATTTCAACATCTCTCATCAGTGTTTGATATCTTAAAATGTGAGTTTGTAAAGGAAAACTGTTGTTTTTGTCAGTTGGCATCATTTTTCTTTATATTACAAAACCGAATATAACTGTGTGTACTGTTATGACAGAAACTTGGCAATCCAATTTCACTTTTTAAATTTTATTCAATGGGGCAAAATGATACTGTTTAACATTTTAGTTTTCACCATTCTTTTAGTAATATGATTCATACTTTATACAGCACCCCCACTGCATGTATTACTCTATAGAGTTGTATAATTATCTCATTTGCATTCGCTAGAGGCACTGACTATGGGAATCTGTTGTCAACTTTACTGTTTGCTTGTCCACTCAAAATGACAGCCTGTGAGTCTAGTAGACAACATACCAGCATTTCTCCTATTGATATACAGTGAACAAATACAATTTTGTTTTAAGCTGGTGACATTCTATTGTTTCTTTCAGATATTTCTTCCTCAGCCCCTCACATATTTGATAGTTTTAGTAGACTGTCAGAATGTGCCCTCATACATTTTATACACTGTGCCTGGACTGACTTCTTTTTTATTGTGTATCTCTTACTCAGTCACTACCAACATCCAGCAAATCTGTGAATAGAATACATTTGTAGTGCCCAAGAAATCAAAGCAGATTTAATTAGAAAGGGATCCGTTTGCCTTGCATTCAATGACACATATATTTATAACAAAAATGATTATACTTCTTTGGAATATTTTTAAATCTTCCATGATTCCAACCCGGTATTTTGAAGGGATAAACTGTATCATATGTACTGTAGTTTAGTTCAAAGGTCTTGTTCTCTACAAAATACATTTGATACTGTACATTACTAATATAACACATATGTTTCTGGATTGGCTGCAGCACAAAATGTAACTGATTTTACAGAAGGACCAGAAATTCTTCATAAAATAATTGTCTACTAATTTGCAAGGGAGTAAATAATTTAACAGCCTTGCATTTCCCAAAAGCTTATGGTGGCTTGGCTGTACCTAATGATAATATTGACATTGTAATTTCCAGTTGAGAACTTTCAAGGTTGGATCCAGATTCATTAATTTGTTCACTCTCAATTGAAGCATTAAAAGCATTAAGTCTCCAATATCTTTTTTTCATGTCCCTAAGTGTCCATTATGAATGGACACTGTTCTAGCGGAGTCATCGGAAACTTGGAAAAAGCCTCTATCTCACCAATACTAGGGATTTCACAAGCTGATAGCAACCTACTTTTATGTCCATTCAACCAGTTGGGAATTTTACTGCAAATATCTGACTGAAATACCTTGCTCAAAGATACTGTTGTACCACAGCAATCTTGTTCTCCATCATGCTAAAGCCTAATTTCTGTACTACATTATCTGCTATATCCCAGCTCTGCAACTTTATTTTAGAGTGTTTTACAACCAAGATTAACAGCATCACATTCTCTCCACCACGCTTTATCCTGCAACACCACTTTTCTGCATGCCTGTTTTTTCTCGTTCTCCTCTTTCTTGCTCTTCTCAACTTGACACTGTATACCTTAGTAAATTGGTATTGTATATTAAACCCACTAGCTCTCTTCTAGATCCCATTGCTGTGGTTTTATTTCAATGCTGTTTTCCAGCCCCTTGCTCTACCATCCCTGATATAATAATGAGTCCTTGAGCACTAAAGTGGTACCAACACACTTTAAAATGGCTCCAGTTAAGATTAAGGTCACTATTTGCCATATACAATTTCTTGTATTAGGAATTTGTCTTTTCACATATCCCAACTTGCTCTCCATGAGAGACACAGACAGGGAGAGAAGCTTGGGGTCAGAGCGCAGGGTCAGCCATTTATATGGTGCCCCTGGAGCAGGTGGGGTTAAGGGCCCTGCTCAGGGTCCCAACGGGGTAGGATTCCTCTGCCGGCTGCGGGATACGAACTGGCAACCTTCCAGCCAGAGGCACAGATCCTTAGCCGCAGAGCCACTGCGCCATTAGGCACAGTTATCCCTGTGCCTAAAAAAAACAAACATGACTCTGGACCTTCTAAACAATTATTGTCCTATATCTAACTTGGAATGCAATTGAACAATCGCCTCTTGCAAATTAACTCTTCCAATCTGGTTTCAGACAATTACACAACACAGAAACTGCCCTTGTTACAGTTACTAATAATCTTCTTATGGCAGCTGATTCTTGTATCTATCCTTTCTCCTAGACTTAAGGGCTACTTTTAACAAACACTCGTCTTGACACTGTGTTTGGAGTTTCTGACATTACTCTTAAATAGTTCAACTCTTATTGATTTCCGACACTTTTCACAGTTTCTCTTGGAGGTTTGAGTTTTGAAGTTGGGTTAGTTAAGTTTGGTATTTCACAAGGCAAGGTACTGGACCCCTCTGCTATTCAGCTATTCTGCTATTTACCCATTTGGTCAGATATTAAAATCATGCTCAAATTATCATTTATATGCTGATAATACTTGAATATATGACCATACTAAATCTGACACTGAAGTAGCTGTTCCTGCACTCTTCAATTCCATCTCTGATATAAAAACCTGGATGACTCAAAATGTCTTTCATTTAAACTACAACAAGACTGAAGTCATACTTCTTGGCACCTCCTATCAACTATGTAAAGCCAATGCAGTAACCCTACCTGTGGGTGGCGCTGTACTTGAATTTCATTTAATATTGAAGACTTTAGGGATGACATTTGATCCTGGCTTGACTTTTGACCTCCATATTGCAGAATATTGTAAAATCATCAGAAATATTGACAGACTTCATCCTCTCTTGTTTTCAACTGTAGCCAAAAAGCTGGTCAACACATTTGTCTTTTCTATTATTGATGAGTACAATGCCCTACACGCTGGGGTATCTAAATCTATCTATCATAAAGGATATCAGAGAATCACCTACCATGAGTGCATTAAAATTTGGACTAAAAACCTTTCACAGAAAGGCTTTTCTTTGATCAGTGTCCGTTTCTGCTCCATTTTGTAATGACCATGTATCTTGTTCTGCTCTTTTTTGTGTTTCTTATATGGTTATTTTGTAATTTGCTGTTCTTATATCTGTTTTCTGTTAACTGTTTTAACATGTACTGTAAGTACTGTTTGACATGCTACTTTTAAAGTCACTATATAAAATAAAATGTATTATTATAATATCAAATCTCATGCAAATAACACTCCAGGAACTAAACCCATGGCTCCAGGGAGGCAGGACTGCAGTGCTAACCACTGCACCATCGTACCACCCTATTCCAAATATATTTGATAATATATTAATTCATACAGATGATTTAATACTTCAGATGAGCTAATTGTAGACCTTGTGTAGTGTAGGCCTGCTGGTTATATAATTCAAGCTAAAGCCACTGGTGTTAAACTGTTTTTGCAAGAAAATTGACCTGTCAGTTAACTGTCCAGGTACTAACAGTTTCATTTTACACTTACAAAAAAAGTTTGTAATGTTTCGTGCAGAAAGCATTCTCAGGTTGTGAACTCGTATAAAAAATTAACACACTCCATTATTTAGGTTATGTTTTTTTCTCCACAATAACAGTACTCATAATTAAAAATAACACTGAGGATTTGTATTGCTAAAAGATTAAAATGCTTTAATGTGCTGTAGAGCTGGAATTTTATTTATTTCAAATGTTTCTTTAAATGCATGTTGCATTCATAAGAGCAGCTTAGCGTCTGCATGTTTCAGAGTCAGGGTGTGCTGAGTTATATTTCTCGCTCTCATTCATGTTTACAGTCTTAATTGACAGCACTGGCTGATTAGACTTAATTAATGGAGTTTTCATTGTATGGATGAGGGTTTCCTTGACAAAATCCTAGCCAGGCAAGTGGACTGTGAGTTCCTGAACGTTATTGATGGCATTGATCTGGAACAAGCTAATAATTAAAATCAAATAGATTGGAATTAAAGGGAATTAGAAGTGGACTTCAGTGTTCACTGAAAAGGAAGTGCATTAATTGACATAAACTGTAATTAAAGACTTAATTTATATTTTTTCCTTCTTTTCAATCAGGTTTCTGGTCTGTCACCTGGCGAAAATCAGCCGCCAGGTCAAATACTTGCGCCTGCTGTCAGATGGGGGCAGACCCCCATTAACCAGTCCACCCCCTGGGAGACAGACGAACCCCCAGCTAAACAGATGAGGGACAACGACAACACAGGTACTTCATCTCTCAACAAAAGTATAACTTCAATAAAGTCTTGCACGTTTATTATGAAAACCTTTTTCCATTAAAAATGTCATGTCCAGATGAAATACTTGGATCGGATAACTAAAGACAAAATACTAAAGGACGAGATGGGCCAAATGCTGTAATTTCATTTGTTATCCTTTTTGTTCTTTTTAAATTATAGCACATAGGAAATGTTTTTATTTTCTTTTATTGATCGAGAGCTATTTCAATAGTGCTTTCTGTCTGGAAATGCTTTATATAACTCTTTAAAGGTACAATATATTTTTCTATATTTCTGAAATTCCTTCAGTAGAATTGCCCTTAAGAGACCTCTCGCCTTCCTGTTATGTTCAATTGATCACTTTTTTGAAGAGTTTTTCTATTTGTATGAGTGAAGATAATACAGTAGGAGATTAAGGGTCTCATTCACAAACGTTTTTTTATCCGTAAATTTGCAGCTAACCTTATACTTTTTATTACCAAACATATTTTTAATCTTTTCTCAAAGTATCAAAAATGCAAGTGATCTACAGTGTCTTCAAAATACAACCATTAAATTTGTTTTCATAGCAGTGAAAGTATTTTCTAATAAACCAGCAAATTAATGACATTGCATATACCCCAATACTCCATGTGCATACGACGGAAATGGTGAATTGAATCAATTTTTTGCCAGCAGAATCAAAACAAAACACTATGAAATTTATATAAAAAGACACAAGATAACTTCAGCTTCACAACAATGTATTTAGCAACCATGGAAAACGAGATATAGCAACAAAATATTTTTTGTTAGACTAGTTATCTGTCATGGCAGTTCCAAGAACCTCCAAAGTCCATTCATAATTGATCAATTCTCCAGCAATATACACAATATCACAAAAGCAAATATTTCCCAAAATACATAAAACCAATTGCCCCTACAGTACCTTGTAAAACAGCAAAAAATCAGTTCACCTATGCTTGCATGCGATCAGTACATGCACAGCTGAACATTTTAAAACTAATCTCTTAAGTGGTTGACCAAAGGGTCCTTACATTTTCAAATCAACCACCTATGGAAGAGTTGATCTAATAGGTAGACATGGCTATCATTCAGTGAATTCTGACCATTCAGGGACTTAGAGGAGGTGCTTAGGTTTCCTTTGCGTTTACCATCCTTTTTTTTTTTTTTGCTTTTTTTTTATTTTTGCCTGTCAATCAAGTGAAAATCTCAAAGGCACCAGTCAGTTTTGTCATACACACCAGGAGTGTTCATGAAAATGTACAAACACATGACCTAAACATCATATTAGCCTCTTGCACACGTCCTATATTCAATGCAATAATAATAATGGATGTTTAAAATTCTATTCATTTTTTATTATTTGTTAATTTTTTGGCGAGGCAAGAAAATGATTCTAGGTCCTGTAAAAAAAAATCCATGCAGATTTTTATATTTATTTTTTTCCAATATAGTAGACATCCAGTTTATTGGAGAAAGCATGGATTGAGAAATGTACATACTAGGTGTGCTACAACTTGGAAAGATGACATTTCTGTGTACTGTGTACTAAGCAAGACATATAAAAAAATTGTAAGGTTTATAGTTTATGTCCAAGGGGTTCCCTTGAAGTCTACTCCCTAACCAGGCCTTTACTGCATACAGTATACTTTCCATGATAATTCAAGATTATTAAAGGGTACACATTCCAGGAGGACATGGACTTTAGGTTCCATTTGGGGGTGGGTTTAAGATGTAAGGTGCAATATTTTGCAAACGAGGCCCTAAGGGATACATTTAATCATGTGGGGAAAAATTGAAGACAAGGTCTCCCAGCCTAATTTATGGTCTTTCTCTAAAACAATTGGAAACGTACAGGGAGTATTCCGTGACCAGGACCTGATTTTTAAAATAGTAAGACGGACTAACTGGCAGTGACATTGCTTTTCAGTAGATAAAAAGTCCTGTTTGCTCAGCGTAAATCAAAGTTGACTACAGCGTATTGGTTGCGTCAACAACTAGGAGTGAGCATATGTTTAGAGAGAGGTAGAGCTCTGGACAGAAGGAACTCAGTTGTCCCTTGGGCTGCAATTCTGGCTCATCTGCGTTAAAGGCTTTTTTGTATTTGGTGCTGTTCTGACACTTGTTTTTTTTTTCTTTGTTGCTCAAATGCTTCTTTTTCTTACCCTCCACTTGGTTGTGGCTTCCCCTCTATCTGTTCCCTTGGGGCTCTGTATGCAGGGATCCCTGCTGTGCGAGTTTTGTTGTGGTTGAATGCGCTATACAGCGGGACATCATTAGCATTGTGTTGTACAGGGCACGGCTCCTCCTGCAACATTCCACTCACGTTAACAAAGTGGGACCGCATTCAGAGCTCGCTGTTGTGGTGAAACGTTTATTCCTGCATATTGCTGCATACTAATGATCTTGCTGTAGTGAAATGCAGCCAGCCATAACCATGCCAATCGAGAACTGCTTTAAGAAAATGCTGTAAAGGCTGTTTGTAGGCGGATTTCAAATTGCTGATTTAAAAAAATATATATTTTTGATATTGAAAAATGAGCTCATAGCAGTCCAGGTTAAATTGTAAGATCAGTGCACCACAGTGAGCACATCTGTCATACACATTGGAATTCAAGTTTTTATAGAACTCCTAATATGAAGTAACCCAGGTAATACTAATTGTATTTTCTTCCCTTCTTACCACAAGGGTCGCTGATAGTTATTATCTCAGAAATCCTCAGTTGTGGTCAGAAAACCATTCATTTTTCCTAAAGGAGTCGAAGAAACTTCAAGCACCTGATGGCTTTGCTATACTGACTTTCTAACCTCAGTTTTTTTACCAGGCAGAGGAATGGTACTCTGCTCTTATCAGTTCTTTGGTCTGGGTCTGTCAGCCTTGCCTTTCATTAGGCCTGGGCCAAACATAGTTGTAGTTCAGGTGGGCAGCTGTGTTAGCATGCGTAGACTGCAAAGGAACATGTAATAGGTTTATTCCATGCTGAAAAAAAGAAGAAAGAAAACACGTTTTGGCCATGGAGCCTTCTACAGGTGTGAGGATAAAGTTGTATTTCATATTTAATTTAATAGGTTCTTACTCATTCACATAGCTTAAGTATTTTACTAAATAGGGTCAGCAAAAGCAATTATTTGTTTTAATATTCAAATAGTATTGTCACAAACACAAATATTCTAAAAAGTAAATACATCTTAGATATATGTAAAAATCTAAATATACTGATTTAATGATTCCTATATACTTAAAGTATAATCAAGAGCAAATGTCTAATAATTAGTCTGAATATATACTGTAATTATACTGATTGAACCCCAGAAGTGCTATAATTCTGAAATGGTACAAGAGATAAGTACAAAAATACCTAGAAATAAAAGAAGACATCCTGTGCTTTTGGTGATATTCATCTTTTCATCTTTTCATCTCAGATCTGAATTGCTTGAGTATATAGCAAAAATTGCAACTTTGACGTCACAGTCCTGATACTTACATTGACCTCCTTATGTCCCAAGATTTGCAATTACCACCTGCTGCTTTATAAGGAAAACAAGTGAGCAGCAGAATTAAAAAAAACTATTAATCTGATCCACAGAAATTAGACCTGGAAATAAATATTACCTGCATGATAAAAATGTGTCAATGCAAGCATAACTAACCCTCATGTATATATAATTATTGTTTACATTCCAGAATAAAATGTTTCAATTGTTGGAAATCATTTCCGTTTCATATAATTCTTCAACCTTTGTTTTTAAAACAAAAAGGATTTTTAGGTAAAATGACAAGGGGTCTGAGTGTTCAGGGACATATGAGCCAGAATGGTAGTCGAGTACTTCTATGGGCAAAGGCGGCGACAGTGGCTATTTAAAAAGTAAACAGCTTTCTGTCTAGCTCCTCATAGTAGGTGGTTCCTGATCAGTGGCAAGCTTGGAAGGATGTGGTTCATATTGGGTTGGCACACTCTTGCTGAAGGAGGGCTGGTACTGTTGGTACCTGCTCTGGTTAACCATGCAGCCTTGAAGTCCGCATTCCAAAGAGCCGGTGGCTTGTAGAGGTCTGCTTTCAAAGGGAAAGATGTGTTTCATCAAATTTCCCTTTAAGGCAGCCACTGACTGGGCATTGCACTATGCATTAAGGTTGCTCAGGAAGGCTCCAAGTTCAGTGATACTAGAAATGACATAGTAAGCAGTAACATTTCTGCAACCCTGGCTGAGTAGCATCCCCAAACAGTTCCAGATGGGCTACAGATTCATAAAGACATTGGATTTCTGGTTTAATGAGTTTCAGAGGTACATTCACCTGCTTTAGTTGCTCTTGTTCAGTATCATCTTGAGATGAGAGTTCTGCCATAAAGTGGCTGGAGGCTGAAGCCTCTCTTCCCGATCTGAAATGTCAGCCACGAGGAATGATTTGTGGCAACGGGACATAGGAGACCTTGCTTTGGCAAGTTGTTCTCGGTTGTTAGACACATGGACAGGTCATCTTCCACAGCAGCTTGTACGACATGAGCAAAGCAGGTTTCATGCTTTGAGGGAGTTAAATCAAGTGTGATTACTTTCGAAACGGTACAGTCATCCTCATATTCAGTGTGATTGTCACACATGCACACCACCTCAAATGCAGGAAGATCAAAGGCTTTTTCCAGTTTTGTCAGTGATAATATGGAGGATTTTGTCATGAATTCTGAATTTAATTGAAAATTTCTTCAAATATTATCGCGTGATGTCCCCTAAATCTCTTGCAGATTATTGTATATGTTCCAGTTAAAAATGAAATGGCCTGTTAATGCCATTGGAGAGATTACTGTACATTTGGCATGATCACCAAAGAATTGCAGTGACATATTCACTTGTTACAGAATATAACAGGTTGAAAAGACACCTCTACAGTATATACAGTACTGCAGATATAGACACACGGTTGACACTGTTTTACAGCTGGGAATAAATAAATATGTAAATATTATTTTACTATTGCCTTGTTCATTTATTCATACCCATGTTTAAATAGAAACAAACAACCTGACAACAAAGCACTGTAATTTCATGTTTTTTTCTGCTTTAATGTTTTTAACAAAGTTATATTTTAATATTTATATTATTTCACAGCGAAAAGTCACACATTCCAGCTAGAATTATGTTCCAGAACACACAAGGGTCACTTAAGTGCATAAAAACTGACGCTTGTAGCAGATTTATTTGTCTTAAAAATGGATTTCCATCATTCCTACATAAATATGGATACTTGCTTGTCAAGTACATCTATGAATACAATGGATCTTGCTTTATACGTCATAGGAAGTGGTACCAGTTTGTATACCAATCAGTCACAGTGCCATTGTAGTTTGTATTATAATAATACAAGACAGACAGAAGACATCACTCCAACTAAATGACACAGGAAGCCTCTACTTCCTGCTTTTTAAACAATCATTTGACCAGTTGTCTTGAGGAGCTGGTCAGGTGACTGAGAACAGCAGCTCATTACCCCAGAGGTTTCTGGGGAATGTGTTCCTGACAAGGTTGGGCTTTCATGCTTTCATGGTTACCAAAATAGAAAATGTAAATACTATTTGAATTACTTCCTCAAATGAAATCTAATTGAAATAGACCACTGTTAAGAAATGACTGGTGTAAGTTTTATTCTTAACAACGTGGGACGATCATTTAGTTTTCATCGTCTTTCATTATTATCACATATTTATCAACTGACTTTAGATTTTGCTCATGAACTCTTGAACAACAGCAGAAGGTGTAGCTAGTGTTGATAAATTAATAAGGACAAGTTTTCTCTTCTATTCAATTCAGGGTAATTAAGCTGTTGTAATGTTATTCAGATGTTAAATATTTAAATTCTATTTAAACTTTTAAAATAGTTTAATCCATAGCTTTATACTAGGTTCTCCAATTAAGTTTTTAAAGAACATCTGCTTGCTTTGATTTGTATTCAAATGTTTCAATTACTTAAAATGTCATTTGATTATTTTTATTAAAAAAAAACGTATTTTACGGGTTTTCAATTATGTTTTAACCAATACTTATTTTTATCCTAACCACATTTAATCTCATATCTGTCAGCAGCTTGTTGCACAGTGACACAGTGGGGAGGACAATCAGGAAACTAACAGAATTACTCTGTCCTCTGCAACATGAATTGATCACTACTGTACGCTCATAGGGTGAGAAAAGGATCCAGTTCCACAGTGATCAGAGAGCACTCATTGATCATCTGTGCTCCTGGCTAACACTTAGTTTAGTAGGAAGGAAGACTGATTTTGGATAAAATTATGAATTACATAATTAAACAAAAACATACTGAACAAGGAAGGTGTTTAAGAGAACTTGCCTAGCTGCACTTAATACCACATTTTATGATGGTTTAATCTTTTTGCAAGGATTTAGAGTGTGCAGTTCCTGTTTATTTGACCAAAATAGTTTAAAGCCCATATTAAAAAACATGTTCAGACTAACAATCCTTGTTGTATTATGATATATAATTCATATTGTTTTCTAAAAGAGAAGAAAGACAGCCTGCTGAAAAGTGTTGATTTGTAAAAATGGGGGAAAAGAAAGTTTCAGTAATATCTCCATTAACTAAACACATCAACAAAAAAAAGATCAATTTCCTGATCCTGCTACGATACCTTGTTTTTTTTTGTAGTCATGGCGTAGTAGATGTTTTTGCCATAAGCTATAACCCCATGTACTGTATATGCAGTATATATATATTTCACATAGAGGAAATCCCTGTCAAACCCTTGGTGTTAATGTCATCCATAATCTTTTTGCTCGTGTTTATTCTGAAGCATACAAAAATGCTGGTGTGACTCTGAAGGCCACTTTTGGCTTCTGTGCATCATTCTCTCCATTTTCTGTACCTGAGACATCCATAAACAGTCAAGGGTGTGTGTCAAGGGATTTTTACAATTACGATTATGTATTACAAGTACATACAAGTCACCTGAGCTACTTGAGTTACTTGTATATGTTACTTTTACAAACAAAAACAAAAAAGAGAAAATAGATTCCAGGCACCAGATATCATGCGCTATAAAATTTTCATTAATTAATAACAAAGTGGTCATTTTAGAAGAAACCAAACATGATTATTTTTATATGGGCCTTAGTCACCTTAGTAATGTCTCAAAAGTACAACATTAATTTACACAATAGGACTGCTCTGGCACCACTGTTACAACTGCTGTGGGTATATGATAAGGTTATTTTTATGGCAGGTGCTGTAAAAGGTTAGATGCAACAATCATCAACGGGTGAGAGCTGAGCCTCTTCAAATGGCAGGGGAGCATACCTTTAGTTCTTTGTGCTGGAACTCAATGCACGGTTTCAAGTAGCTTATTGTTCACTTTTTGTGACAAGCACGATGACATTATGTCCGTACACAGCACTCACTTTGGTATTTTAAGCCCCAAATGTAATATCCATGTGTTACATAAAGGCTAGGATTCAGTGAGTGAGTGAATTATAAGGAAATAATCCTGTCTCAGGATTATGTGACATTTTAAACTACACTGACTGTAGTGACTGGTGCTGTTGTATGTCACAGAACATCTCTAGCATTATTTTCTTACAGTTCTGTCTATCAATCTGTCTGCTCATCTGTCTCTAGTATGATTTGGTCCCTTACTTAAAGTGTAGAAAGTGATAAACTTTGGGTAACTCATAAAACCTTCTGGATTATGGCCCTCCAGAACCTGGATTGGTCCGCCCTGCTCATACTTTTCTTTTTCCCATTCTTTTGTGTAAACCTTATTTAGCTACATTATAACTACACGTCATTGAATCATGTTCATCTGTCTTTTTTATTGTTTTTTCAGTGTAATGCAGTATTGGTGGTATACAGATATTTGCGCAATCTGTTTGGGAAAAAATATATTTCAGGACAATCTTTGGTACGGCAGTAACTATGACATACAGTACATCAAATACTTTTTTTCCATTTCTGAACTTTCTCAGAGCCTTCTGAGTGTTTTTTGAGGATCTACTTCTCCCAAAACACTTTTTTTTCTGTAATTTTATTTAAAAAAATGTTTTCTCATTCTTCAAATCTTCTTTTAGACCAGACTTAAAGGATGAAGGTCATTACTTTCCCCTCCATTTGAAAAGTGCTATTGTTACAATCACTTCTTGAGTTCTTCTGCCTTTCAAAATGCATGTTTATCTTTTGAAAATTCATTAGAGCTTAAAAGGAAAAGCCTGGTTATCATAATGCGTGCTGTTTCTTCTGTTGATAGGTCCTGCATCGTGGGTTCCTCCAGTGGCAGCAGTCAGCCAGGCCAGCCTCTTGGCCCACACTTACGGAATGGCACAGTCTCCCATCTATAGCCAAGCCATCAATGTCCAGGCACCTGTAATTGGAGTCACGCCCACCATGCAAACTCCAGTCCCCCCACATCACCCACTCATGTCCGCACACTTCCAGCTCCCACAGCAGCCTTCACAGCCACTCACAAACATGGTCATGAACATGCAAAGTCAGCCTCTGTACACGAACAGCCAGCCCCCCATCACCATGTCCCCTATGACCGGCGTCTGTCAGGTGGCACACCCCGTGCACACGGTGGTAGGGAATGGGCACATGCCACACCCTATGATGCAGCCTCCTGCTTTGCCTTCTGCGTCCCTGCCCAGTAGTGCCCCGCTACCCAATGGGCAACCTGCTGCCCAGCTGCCAGCCATCCCTCTGTCCAATCAGGAGAATCCGAATGGGCTACAGATGCTGCGGACCATTGGCATGGGAAAGTACGAGTTCACAGATCCCTGGCACCCCAAAGGTAAGTGAATTAAGAAGCCTAACTTTCTGTACAGTTTGTGTAAAACCCTCCCTGGAGGATGCGGTGATTCAGCCCAGATTTTATCATGTGTCTCTTAAACTTATATCTTGTCTGCCATATTGCAAAGATAAGACTTTAACATCCCAACTGGTTGCAAGTCAAAGCAAGCCGTACAGAATGCTGTGGATGCAGAAGATAATCTTCTTTTGACAGCAGAATATTAGGTTTACAACAGATGTATTCCCTTTTCAGCTATCATGTTTAATAAAGCTTGGCTTCAGTCTTTATGACAAAGATTTATATTTTTTAAAATACAGTTTTATAGCAATACAGCTGTAACTTCGTGAAGTCAAAAGGCAGCCTCAGTATACCAGAGTTTGACAAAGCACTTGAGAAAATACATTTTCTAAACACCTTAGCAAAACACATGCCAGAACATTCTGTGTTCATCATGTGCTTGTAGAATTTAGTTTAGAATTTAAAGGATATATACAGTATGTGAATTATGAAGACAAAATTACAAGTTAAATGTTGATTATTCCTGTGAGAGCCAAATGTCTGTAGAACAGAAAAGTAGCAGATTAAATGAGACAGCAGTTGTATTTTTGGAATGCAGATAATCAAATATTTAGTTAGTGTCTTAAGTTGCTATGTAAGCAGTTTTGTAACAACCGTAGGAGGAGCAGCTATGTTAATGTCAGTAGAAGATCTGCTGTCTCAAATTCTAGTCTATATATAAATATTATTTATAACTTTATACTTTCAGTGTGAAAGTCATAAAATTTTAATTCCTAACTCATCTATTTTCCTGTTTTGCCTTTGCCAAAATAGAATTTACCCTACATTTATAGGAAAACGTTTTCCATGGTAACACCGCATTTAAACCTCGGATTTGCACATGAGGTAGATTAGGTTAACACTAAGCACTAGATCTGCTTGTGGAAATGTTCTTTTATTACTAAACGCTGACCAATTGCAAATGTCTCAGTCTGTTAGTTTGGGACGTGCACAATATACAAGCTCTTAAAATCAATATACCAGAAGGTTTTTTAATCCTGCCCCTTTTAACCAGCATCAGGTTTTCAAACCACAATTTCAAATGTTTTAGTCTTTAGTCTGTGCCTTATGAAAATGGCAAACCTTCCATCAGAATGCTACTGGCAAGTCTTCTGATTACATTCGTCTTTCCTGCACATGCTCACATAAAGCTTGGGGTGTCTTTACACGATGATGTCTTAATTTCACCCACTTCCTTTAAGATGATCTACAGTGCTTTCTTCAGAAAGGGAATGCTCTCATAGGAGCAGTCAGCTTCATAAGCCATATTTAAATTTGATTCATTTGTAGTTAGACATGCAAACCAGTACAATAACCGATAACAGATACAATAACAGAGGAAAATAACAGATCTACCAAGTCATGGATTACATATGACATTTTCATTGTTGGTTTTCACCTTATTGGGAGGAGTGAGGGGTGTGATTTGAAACTGAGGCCATGTGCTGTAGATGAGGTTTATTTGTCTGTAACAGATATGTTCTATACTGAATCTGTTTTTCTGACTGCAGTTTCTGTGTTGCGTTAGAGGTGATCTGGTGAAAGAATCCACACTCACAAGTCTGAAATGTTCCTTTCCTATAGGAAACTCTTCCTCATAGGCTTATACTGATGACTTCAGTGTTTGTCAAAATACTTTCAGTAAGAAATGATAGTTGAACTTGTGCCAGTACCTACTAATGACTCTGTTCCATTAACAAACTCCAGGACATACAGTATGTATACTTGTTCTCCTCTCCAAAGCACATACAGTTCTGCAGTTTTAAATCTAGTAAAACATCCAATTCCTACCTCCTATCAAAAAAAGTTAAAATGTTGCTAAAGACAACTCCAGTGCACTCTTAAAGGCACAACGAGTTGCAAAAAAGGCAAGTGCAACGGATGAACCACAGAGGACTTCTTTAAATTTCTTTGTCCACAGGTTAGACTTGTAAGATGCTATAGAGCATTGTCAGATTTCTATTTTTACTTCTTCCCTCCTTTTATAACATCAAGCTCTACATGACAAACTATAATTGCTTAAATGATCTCATAATAATTTCAAAGGGAACTAACAATGACTTCTGTAAGTAATCAATAAGATCAGCATCTGGGTTCTGGCTTTTTTTATCTGCAGTGCTTCAGACACTTTCAGGAAAAGGTCATTAACATGATTAAGTTGGACTTTAAAATGAAGATTTGTAAACAATTAGACTGTAAAATGAAGATTTGTAAACAACTACCCTATAACTTATTAGTACTTGTAATTGGATTAATGTAATTTCCACTCTTTTCACTCTACAATGGGTTGTGTAAAACAGACCTTAACTTCCCTTGTATTTTGTCAATTGTGCAAAGCATGGCTAATTCTATACTGGTCTTGGCGCTTGGCATCTGTATACATCCAGGTACATTGCAGCTATGGAATGTGTTCTTTAAATCCAATGGTTGTATCACACTTAACCAGTTTCTGAAAGCCAAATGAAGAAAAGATGTGAAGATTTTTTTGTTGTTGATTTCTTGCGTTTCATTTTTAGTCCATCAAAAGCATTGCCAAGCTAGAGGCAAAAAAAAAATGTGCAATTACTTTTTTTGCCCTGTTACTCCTCTAAATTGCGTGTTATGTCGCATCACCCAAAATACTTATGTCCCTGGGGGAAGAGTGCAGAACCAGCAATACTGCCAGTTTCCAACAGAGACCTTATAATTGAGATCAGTAGAGAAAAATCTTTTTAAGTAGCCTTAACCTACTTTTTTTCCTACAAAGTCCCATAGCTGTCTCCCCAAATCACCAATTGCCAAGAGATTAAAGGAAATCTCTAGGAATTAAGATGCTCACAGACATTACAATTTGGAAGAGGTTATATTTCCAGATAATGATTAAATCATAATAATCCCATCAAATAGGAATACCCTAACAATACCACCTTAATCCTGTGTTAATAGGTAGTTCTTATTACCTCAGACAGGAAAAAAAGGAATAAAATTAACCTTTATTTCCTTTAATTATCCTTGTGCCAATACAAGCTTTTTCATGAACTTGGGATGAGTTACAGTACTAATGCCCATGAAGTAGGGCTGAAAGTTATTAACCAGATTTTGTATAAGTGTTTCCTACATGTATCCTATTAAATATAAGGTGAGCTTACTGGATATTTGAAGGCAGTCTAAGGTATTTCCCATTTTGATAAACAGTAAGTATACAATATGTATACTTCTGTGTATTTTGAATCACACAAGATGCTTTTCCCCTGGAGTGGAGATATGTGTGGAGATATAAAACACAATGCTATGATATCCCATTAGCGTGTTTGTGGATCTTTGTTATCTGGAAAAACTACCAGTATATACAATTTATTGCGATAGAAATGAGGATAGTAAAAAACACCCAAACCACATAAAACCATTATATCTGTCAACCTTATTTAGTTTAAATAAAATGCAGTATTGAGTATTTTATTCAAAACACTGTAGTATTGAATAATAAGCTTTTCGGCTACCATGACTCACTGGATTAAGGGAAAATAAAAATATTTATTGGATGAAAATACACCTTTATTAGTGATTATGTATGCTTGGGAATAACCCCTATGTGTTTGTACAATATAGCAGAAAATATTGTCAGATATTAAGAAAGGCCTTTAATTGCAAACAAGTCTTAATAGAAAGGTGGAGCATCACATTAGGATTTGAAACAAAACAGTGCATTCAAGATTGCCTCAGGCTTCACTGTGACCTTGCTACTTTAGTTGCTTTAGGATAAATTGGAGTCAGTGTCTTTTTATGTATTGCAACATTAACACTAAACATTTTATTTATAAAGACATATTCTTTGTTTTATACATAAAGTATATATACAGGATGTGGACTGTTAAGTTTTTTTTTGCAGCCACACTCTTCCTTCTATTTCCTAGTGTGATTTACAGTTTTTTTTCCTGCTGTTTTTACTCATAGGTTTTGCTCAGCAATGCACAATTGTCCCTAAAGAATTCCCTGTGCTCATAATTTTATTTTCAGTTTAAATACCATATTTCACTCACTGATTTTGGGTCTGCCTGAAAATTAGGTATACTATATATTAGCCTGTATAACTACAATTTAACAATGATTACCTTAATAAACAGACCTTAACATCTCAGTGTCGAACATGAAGCCTTAAGCCTTGAAAGGCTTTAAAGACCAAACAGCTGATAAATGGATTTAATATTTTAATGATCTGAGACTTAAATAGGTTGTTTCTGATGTTACCATTTTACATTATGGTTTTGAATTAATCACACTTTCAGAGTTCTTCAATAATATATTAATATTGTAAAGAATATGGACACAGTATTTACAAATTTGAAACTAATCTCGATGAAAGGTCAGATTTGTGAAGTTTTCTCTCACCACCTTCAAGTATACTCACATTTTCTGGGCATAGAGTAGGTATGTTACCATCAGAAATTACATGAAAAATGTATGAGCATGTCGTGAGTCTCCTTGGTGAACTGTACACAAGTAGATGGATTAATGATCCTCATTTGTTTTCCCTTGAAATCAGGTGTTCTTTGGGTTATGCACAACATGAATTTGAATGCAGCCACTGAAACAAATGAACAATGAGCACTTGTTGGAGAATCAGCTCTTTACAAGCTTACAGTCAGTAGGCCTCCACACTTGCAGTTTGCTATACTTGACTGTTTCAGGGCTGTGCAGAAGCCAGTGGCTATACTGTACGTGGCTGCTCCCTGTGTACAGACCTGCTACAGGCAAACAGACACAGTGCCTGCACATGTCCTCAGAACTTTCTTACTTCTCCTCCTAAAATCCTCTTCTTCCTGCTTTTATTATACCATCTTAAAAAGAAGAGAAATGTTATCAGGGGACCATTCAGTCCATTTATCCTTTTTAGTATTTAATTACTAATTGATCCATCCATAGTATTAGCTTTAACAAATATTTGGTTAGGTTGTTCCATACTC